CATGGCTGTCCTGCACCAGCTGCGCCCCTCAGAAAGTGGCCTTGCTTTGCAAGGGCACGTGTATTTGGACTGCGGGTGCAGGAGCATCATTGTTTCCTCCAGCCTCGTCCGCCAGGGCGAGCGGGGCTGGTGGGTGGGTGTTTTCAACCACAACAACAGCCACAGCACCAAGGCCTGGAATGCCAGTGCCATCTGCATCTTTGAAATGGAGGAGATCAAGGAGCAAGCCTGTGGGTCCACGCACTTCATCATGAACGGGAAGAGCTGTGTAAGTTTGGGCGTCGTTTTGCTAAGCTTTCGTCCTGCACGCCATTGTTGACGTTTCGTCCTGACTGTTGTTGTGGCTCGTGTCACTGTGCATGACTTGTGGGGTGTCCCTGACCTGAAGGCATACGAAGTTCGCGAGGAACTTCAGAGCCGCGCCAGGCTTTGCACATCAGCCCTGACTCCATCAGCCCTAATGATTTCTGCAGCACTTTCTGTTTCTAAAAAGCTGATCCCTTACCAATTCCTGGAATGTCCTTCCCACCTACAACTTGGGAAGGACGTGTCTGAGGGAACGCCTGAGGGCATCCTGGGTCAGGCCTGAGCCTTGGGCTCCTCGCTCAGTGCGCCTTTTTCTGGCAAGGATTAGTCGTACCTCAGTGTATTTTCCTGCAGTCTAGATAAAGCATCTCGTACCTTATTCTGTGCATTCACATCTCATGTCACTGCAGCTACATAAGAAATGGAAAAAAGCCCATCAAATGGACTCCTGTGCACTGGGCCGTGTGCGTTGTTATCCCCATTGCTCGCTGGTTATTTATGGTTGCTTGTTCGGTTGTAGGTGTTTCCCAAACCTCCCAGGATTGGCTTTGCTTGAGAGGGCTCAGAGCCACCCCCCCAAACCCATATGTGCATCAGACAGCAATAGGCGATACGTCTTTGTTGCTGCAGTGGTTGCATTTCCACAGGCAGTGGTATCCCATGGAGATCCCCTGGTCACCTACTTCTGTTAACACTCTCTCTTGAGCTCCTTCCTCCTTTTGAGGGTGAGCTGGGCACATGGAGGGCAGGATGGGCAAGGCTACTGGCTTTGCTGTGGCCTCAGTAGCTAGTAAAGAAATGAACTAAGAATTAAATTCAAGAAGCTAAAAATGTACTTCAGGTGAAGAAGGTGCTTTTGCAATACCCCTCCATGCTTTTAAGTCACGCTCAGAGGTTTTTTCAGAACTGTGGCAAAAGGAACGACACTGAAAAGTATTGGGGGAACCATAGGGGGTCAAGCAAGCCATCATAAAGCAAGCCCTGGCCTTTTGCAGTTCCCCTCCCATCCAGGGACTTTGCAGCTTAACCTCTGAATCCTTGCTCTGTTACGATGGGAGTTTGCTGGAAACTCCTTGAAAGAAGTGCAGTAGATTTGCAGTCGCTCCTTGACTTCCCAAATCTAGCCCATAGCAGAGCACGGTACGCAGATTCTTCCAAATACAAACTACCAGAGAACACGTGTGATTCAGTCTGCTCATCTCCCTACTGAGTTGTGAGACTATTGCCAGTGTTAGAGGACGTAGTTATGAATGAGAACCCCGTATGTGGGTGAAACAACTGTGCTGAAGTAATTGGTGAAACTCTTGCAACAGAGCTGGAGCAAATCCTTTGATTTCTAGTGCCAGTTTATATCTTACTGCGTGATTTCTCTGCTCTCACAAGGCAAACTTGCTGAATGAATTTGAAGTCTCATCCGCATCCCAAAATACCTATTTGTTAGTTGGATTTTCAATTTGTATTCTTTGTTCCTAATTACTTGTGGAGTTTCTGTTTTCTGAGCCTGCAAAAAAAAAAAAAAAAAAAAAAAACTCTCTGAGCAGCAGATCCTTTATAAACACTTTCCAAAGCCCCATGCTAGAAATTCCAAAAGAGTCTCATGGATTTCATAGGGTAACATAATGCAGGTAAGCTGAGGCAGGTATTTCTGTCTGACTGATGTTCCTCTCAATCCTCTGTCCCCATTGCCTCCCAGTGCCCGAATATAAAAAAGTCAATGATCTACTTGTGTAGGAATTGGTCTGATTCAGATCAGACTCTTGTGTCTCTAAAGTTACTTTCATGTCCCAAAAGGCTTGTCTCTCCTGGAAATTTAGATTGTATTTGGATACAATGCTGAAGAATTCCGGCTTTAAAAATGATTAGAAGGATTGTTTGTTTATGTCCCTAACCATGGTGATGTTATTGATCATGGTATTTTTGCACAATAAATACGGTTTACCACTGACGGGAAAGTGGTATTTTAATGTTTTGTGAGATAGCAGGACATCTGGGTGTTGTGTAGTAATATGACCTATAACATTACATAGCTAATTAGGCTCCCTTTTTAAGCTGATTATATGTGCTTCTGGTATATAAACATAGAAATAAATGCATGTAGTTCAGCTTTAATACGTTTTTTATACTACAGAAGGTTAGGCTAGGCTATTGCAGAGTAAGTTTGGAGATGACAAGCCCATATGCTGCTGCTTCTGGGTTGTTTTAGACCAGATCCTTCTACTGTCTGTCACCAAATCATGGGAGTCCCTGCAAATGTGGAACATGCTCTTCTTGGACTCAGAAGCTCACCAGCTTCAGAACTGGCAGGAAGACGGAATGCAGCACGTCCATGAGTGCGCAGCTTGTAGGAGAAGTATGTGCAATAGCGAGCAGTGCTCTGTCCAGAAAGGAGTGCCTCGTAGCACGGAGCTGTCACGAGCACGTTGCAGTACGATATGTAGGAATGGCAGCAAGCAGCACTTAAGTGCTTAACGTGTGCTTTGAAGTCCAGTCTTTTAAAGGCAGTGCTGGTACTGAGCAAATGAATGTGTTGCAGTGTTATGATTGCTTGGAGTGCAAGACCTGTACAGTGTTTGTGGTGAGTGGACCATGCTGAATGTCAGCCTGATTTTTGCCTTGCAGATGCCACGTGTTGTGAGGTGCTGCGGGTCTTAGTCTTCTTTGCTGGGTACACTTGAATTCTGGAGCTCGGGTGTGATGTGATGAGGTACACGGATCATGGACACAGACTGTCGGTTTATGTAGGAATTGAAAATACCAATTTTTTTTCACTGCAGGAGTACCATTTCCAGTTAGAGTGTGTGTTAGGAAGTAGTGGCAGTTTGTTTTCCTTCTGATCTTGTCATTCTTCAGATTTCTGTGATTATTCTGATTACCTTTAGGCAAGACATCCTCTTACCTGTCTGCACTCACACAGCTGCTCATTTTGCACTGTGTTGGCACTATGCTTCTCAATAGTACGCTGCAAGAAGGACTTAGCCCGAGGTATTTGTGGTCCTGAATTCCCTGCTATGCTACTGATGCATGTTCTACTCTAAGCTCATTCCTGTAAGGTGCTGAGCTTTCTGGCCCTAACCCAGTAAAGCACTTAAGGACATATTTAACATTAGGCATATAAGTAGTTCCATCATCTTCATGCCCATGCATTTAAAGTTAAGCATGAACTTGAGTACTTTGCTGGATTGGAACCAAAGTGCTCCACGTCCTGTAGGAACTTACTGTAGGTGCGTAATCTCTTTAGCTCGCATTGCTACTTGGGCCAAAGTTGACCTTTGCATTAAGTTTTAATGCTGTGTTTGGGTCTGTCGTTGAAAATTAGTATTTTTTAAGATCCTTGCTTACCAACTTTATCAAAAAGTGTGTGACTGCTACAAATTCTGTGGAATTGGGGGTTATGAGAACTAGCTAATTCTCTTTTCGTTTTGTGCAGTGTTGTGCGCAAAGCATTTTGTCCCGGTTGGATGTGTTTATTCTGGACATATATAAAATATTGGATTCCCAGCAACATGATCCCTAACTAGCAAGAGGCAAATGGTGTCTTAGATGAAATAACTCTGAAAACATTTTGCAGTTTTATATTCAGCTTGTTCTCTTCTGATCCACACGTCTCTTAGTTTTGGTTATATCTGCTTATACGCACCGTTGAGATGTATGCGTTAATGGACTCGCTAGCATAACCTGCATGTATGTAAACATATCTTCTTCATGATTTCCTTAGTTAATAACTGTGAATTTGCCAAATCTCATTCTCCTTTTCTTTTCAGAAACGTGACTGAGCACTAACAAACATTTTTAGTGGATCACAACTATGAAATCGAAGCTCCTTAGCCAATACATAGGAGAAATGCTGGAATTTGTCACAAATTTGCTCCAGTAGCTAGTGAGCTCTAAGAAGGCCTTTCCTTCTGTTTTTCTGTGGCTAAACGGGAGCTACTAGAATCTCCAATCTCTCCCAGAGATCCCAGGATCTTGTGGATCACAGCCAAGCAGATGAGTTGGAGAACTGCTCAAATTAGAGAACATCAACAGGAGAGACTTGTAGGATGTTACTTAATCACAATGACAAATCTGGAAATTAGGTTTGCCATTAAAAAAGGTTGCATGAGAAGAAGAGGATCCTACAATTTTTCAGGGAGAAAATCCAAAAAAGTGTTAGGCGTACACTGGTAAGACAGAGAGAAGTTGCTGTGGTTTATATTAAGGTGTTTATTTTATGTGCACAGGCTAAGTAGATGTGATAACTACTGAATGCTAAGCTATCTTGGTTGGATTTTCATCTGCTGTTTAATGCAAGTAAAGATATATAACAGCCTGTTCTTTCAATTTTTGCATTTTTCAGTGGGTGATAAATATGTGGGTTGGTATATGCCCCTTAATTTATTGAGCATAGTTTGGAATCCTAGGACAAATCTTAGCTGGTGTAAGCTCTACTGAAATGAGATTTTGAAGTCAACAGAGCCACATCAGTTTAATCACAGCCATTCATTTGGAGGAATGACATTTGAATTTGTGTGGTAACTAATTCCAAAATGATTCATGGTCTTTTATTTAAGGAAAGAATTACAGACTTCTAAATATCATTTGGTATCAAAATTGATCCTGCAATTAATTTTCTAGTAGTAGAGTCATCTCGTGTGTATTACCAGACTGCTAGTATTTCATCTGATGCTTGACAGATTTCTAGAGTTAAGGTTTCTACAGTGAATATTTCTGTCCGGTTACAATGAGTTTCCAGTTCATCCCTGTTTGGTGTGGGAAGTAAACCATAGGAGACTTGTAAACTCTCACATTGTCAGTAAGAAGAGTTGCTTTTAGTCATCTGGCTTTACCAGGTGTTCTTAGCAGAAACTTTTGAGAGCCTGGGGGCTCTTGAACAGAATATTCACTTCCTTGGGATCACAGAATCATTCAGGTTGGAAGGAACCTCAGAGGAGGTCTCTAGTCCAGCTCCCTGCTCACAGCAGG